TCAGGCCTCAGGATGAAGTGTCTCTTCACCAGCACCATGACTCATATCCTTTCTGGGCAGACAGTGACCCCACATCTCAAAATGCTCTTTCCCCTCTATTTGCGCACCTTTCAGGGAATGCAATTCCCCTCTGGGAAGTCCCCCTGGCCACTCCTTCCTTCCATGAAAGCTGTTTTCAAACAAGAGCAATCTGCTCCTTAGAGAACATCTGTCATGTCTACAGTGCCTGCTTGGCATCCTACTGAATACAGGACAGTCCATCACAATAAATACTGAAGAACTATCCGGTGCACAGTACCCATGGTGCTGAGGCTGAGAAAATAGGGTTAACTGTCACCTCTGCTCCTCTGTGTCCGTCCATGTCTCCACCACTGTCCTCGGACAGCTGACCAGAAGGTGCCGTGATGGAGAACAAACATGGTCTGATCCATGTGTCACTGGTGTTGGGCATGGGGAACGAAGGGGGCTCGCAATGACGGGGCTGTGGCAGTTTGAGGGCGTGAAGGATTGTGCAACAGTTGTGTGGGAAGTTCTTGGGTTGTCTGTGCACGACTGAACTTGACTCAGCTCTGAGCTCAGAGCACAGTGGGCTAGAAGTGTGACAAGGGTGAGGAAGGGTCTAGAGGCCGAGGCAGAGGCAGGGGATCTGTGTGAGTTCAAGGCTAGCCAGGGAGGGAGGGAGGGAGGGAGGGGAGAGAGAATGTTTAGATACCACCCTTTCTCAGCGGAAGTTGAACACACATCGGACCCAGACTCTGTGCTAACGGTGTCCTTGGTATAGCCTCTCCGCACCTCTACACTCCTTCCTCAGAAAATGGAGGTTATGGTGCCTACTTGACAAGGTTCTGATGAGAACAACCCAATGAGCATTTCTAAAGCACTTAGATCACACACAGGAGACTAAGGCAACGGTCACGGTCTGTGGTGATAGAAGACTATAGCTTGTGTCCCTAGAGAGGAGGCGTCAGCTCCACCACGGGGCACTGGGCTGGAGCTGGGAAGCAGGTCTAGCTCAGTTCTTTCACTAGCGAAGCCAGGTCACTTCAGGCAAGGCCTCACTCACTTCCTCTGTAGACCAGGATCCTCCCTTGCCAAACAAGAAGGGCTGAGCTGACATCAGGTCCCTCCCAACAGTCTCTCTGGATTCAATGGAAGCCTATTTCTCGGATGTGCTGGGTCTTGCCCTCTCATCAAACTGGAGAGAGGCACTGTGCAGGTCAGCCTCACCTTTCCACCTCATCTTAAAAGGAACTGGACTGGAGCCCACCCCCACCAATCCCACTGCACCCCAGCTCAGCCCTTGACTTGCCAGTTGCCTTTTCCCAGCCTTGGTCTCCTCATCCACAAAAAGGAAGACAGTCTTGCCTGCCAGGCTTATAAGGTGCAGGGAGAGGAGTTAATTTGAGGGCAAGTGCTGTATAAACATTTAAGATAATATCACGATTAATTACTACTTCCGGGTAGAAGCCTTTCAGGCCTGTTTTATGACGAAGAACAAACTCCTGGCGATGAGTGGAGGAATGTCCATCCACTGTGGGCGAAGCTTCGAGAGCATGGCACCCAGCCTCACTCCTAAGAGAAGCACTTGGAACAGACCTGGGAAATTGGAGCGCTGGTGCAGGTGGACAGATTCCACACCAGGGGAGCCTTTTCCCGTGACCAAGTCCTGCCCAAGCCCTGCGCACTTGTCTGGGCATCTGGCCCTCCTTGCTGTGGGCCCATCCTCCCCTCTTCTAGGTATGAGTGCCAAATCCTTCATAAAGCCCTTCTGCTGCTACCCCTCCCCTAACCTCTCCTCTTCTTTTGAAATCTCTGTGTTCGACCAGCTGGGGAACATAAATATTTGTACGAAAAACGGCATCTCTGCTGACCATGGACAGACTGTTTTGTCATTAATCCCTCAACAATATGGAAGTATAGCAAATAAATACCGACATTTGTGTGGTCTCAGATGCAGGTAAGCAAGGGGTGTGTGAGTGAGAGGAACAATGTACACAGATTTGTGCAGCACTGTGCTGTTCCATCAGGAGGGTCCTGGAGCCTACCCCTTACAGATCCCCACACTCCCCTTTTCCCAAAGGGTCTCCCCATCCCTTGAGATGGGATGGCTTTAGAAACCAGAATGTGTTCTGTGGTGTCAACGCCATATCTCCTTGCTGCAGAGTGCATTCTGGGTAAGTCCTTGCTGAATGCTAGCAGAACTGAATCACCGCATCTTCCTTGGGCAACGGATTCAGTCTTACTCAAGCACGGTGGCCACTGTGTGTGCTACATGCTGGCCAAGTCACACTTGGGTCCTCTCTTCATACACCTATCCTGACGCAATGGCCATCTCCACTCCGGCACTGGCCTTCGACTGTTCCTTACTTGCTAGGAAGCCTCCAAGGCAGACAAACTCCTTCCAGCTGTGCTCACACCTGTACCTTGTTCCTCCTTGCCAAGAGCAGTCTCCTAGACTCCTTCCTGCCCAACAGCTGCCTCCTACAAGCTCCCTGCACTTACCTTATTCTTTCCCTCTCCTCTACTGATGCCTTACATCGTGTTTATAAAGAAATCTGGAATAAGAACAAAAAATCCCAGCACAAACACCAACCTTAGGTCAAGCCTCCAGTCACTCCGACCTTTTCTCTCTTCTCTACCAAGCCTCCTCAAGTCTCTTGAGCCCCTGCCTCCACTTCTTGAATACCTGCTGGGATTCTAGGTGGGCACCACCATGCCCTGCATGCACCTGGTTTTAGATGTCGGCTCCTCTCCCTAGGGTCCTCTCTATCTGCAGCTGGGAATGAGCTAAATGCTTGCTCTCCTTACTTCAGAGATCCTCTCCCATTCCCATCTGGATAGCAGTGACCCTCGCTCAGTCACTCACCAGTCTTGGTGTTCAAGAAGCCAGATCAAATGGATGAGCACCTCTGCACGTCACCAGAGGCAGACAATAAACTGATTCCTGCCACCTCACCCTAACTCCTCCCCTGAACCAAAAATACAAAAGCCATTCTTGAACCCTACTCCCTCATGTTCTCATACTGAACTGATTGACTAAATCCTGTCTATCTCTCCTTTCCAGATTAAGAAAAAGAAGTGACATTTGTATGACATGTACTCTGACACATGGTGATCAAAGGACCATTTGTAGGAATCTGTCCTCTTCTTCTACCGCATGGGTCCAGGGACCGAACTCAGGTGGTCAGGCCTGGTGGCAGGCACCTTTTACATTGACCCATCTGTCCAGCACCCGGCAGTTGTTCTCACTTCACTAGTCTGTGAGTGTTTCTAACCCCGGCTCACTTTCAGATCTATTCCTCAACTCCAGGTGCCTGAATATCTCCAAAGACGCAGATCTGATCAGGCCTGTCCTCCTCCATGGGCTTGAAGGTCTCTGATATCCTCCATCTGTCCACCTGGCTGTGCCATGCCAAGCTGGGGGCTGGCTATGCTGCAGGTCCAAGTCATTCGTGCAAGGACTACAGTGGTCCAGTTCTGACTTGCCGTGAACCCAAATTCTCTTCTCCCCCAGCCCACCGTCCTGAGATGCCGAAATACTCATTCTTCATGGATGTAGCGCTCTGTGCATCTATCGTCTTACTGCCCCTCCCCTGCTCACTCCACCCTGTCTGTGTTGGGAAAAACTCCTCCTGGATCCGAGTTATGTCACCAACTCACTGGAACCACAGTTAAGACATTGCTTAACCCAGTACTTCCCAACTTCAGCTCCCCGTCGGAAACAGTTAAGGCGCTTCCTCAGCATCCCACACCAATTACTTCAGAATCTGGGGGTGTGTAGGGAACCTCGATGTGCAAACTTCTCTTCCTACTTCCTCCTATCTTGTCTCACAGGCTTTCTGTCTGCTCAGATTCCCGGAAAGAGCCCGCTCCAAAGCACACACCTTGGTGGGAGCTGCTCTAAGCACTCAGTAAAAGCATGGGCTCACGGTTGCCATGTCAGATCCGGAAAAAATCCCATGAGGGCTGTGCAGCTCAGCATGAGTCAGCAGCCAAGCCTTCTAGTGACCAGCATCAGGCGTGGCCCCTATAGCCAAGCCCCGCCTACTTGGAAGAAGTCCAGGTCTAATTTCACACAGTCTGGTGCTTTAGCTGGGGCTCTGGTCCCGGGCTCACTGCACTCACTGTCTAGCCTCATCAGTCTGGCTAGCGAGCACGGTCCTGACGGGAGGGCTGTCTACTTCCATTTCCCGATCCCTGTGAAAGTATGGATTGATAAAACGGCAAGAGTGTTGGGTCAGGAAGGTAGCCTGAGGCTATGGAAACAAAGAGTTTGGCTTCAGATGCCACCATTCACTAGCATGTGACCTTGGGCCCATGGGTCATTTCATCAGCCCTGACTGGCATTTTCCAGGTCTATAAAATAGAAAACAGCACCCACCCACGCAAAACGCCTAGTGTAGAGGGGGGACTACGACAGTCTCCATTTCTGTTCCTACCCTCTTTCCCCCTCTTCTCCCAGAACAAGCAGGCGACTGCCAGAGTCCTCTCCAGTCTAGACTCCCAGAGAGCAAGTGGGGGAATATTTGGGATGTGCAATGGGGAGAAAGAAGCCAGGCCTCTAGCTCCTGCGGTGCCTCGGGGCAAGCAGCCAGTTTGCTTAAATTAACATTGGAAACTCCAGAAGAGGAAGGCGTTTCAATCTAGAACTGGGCTGTGCTGTATGTGGGTGGGGTGTGAGGACGTAAAACCCGCACAATAGGGCAGCTCTGCACACTGGCTCTGTCCACCTTGGTGGCACTGGGGAAGGTTCCTCCACTCTGACCATGTCCCCCCGACCTGCCCTGCGGCAGGTGTGGAGCTCTCGGAAGCCCCAAAACCATGTAAATGAAGCCCGCTTCACTGATCATGGTAAGTGTCTGTGCTAGGTGACCTACCAAGATCGTAGAATTCCAGCTGATGTCAGTGGCGGGCACCCAGGGGGTGCCAAGAGTATGTGAGTGGGAGCATGGGTGGTGGCGGTGGTGGTGTGTGTGTGGCTGGGATGGTGTAGCACTTACCTTCTGGGGGGCATTGATGACGCCAGTGTTGTAGCCGAACTGCAGGGATCCAAGCACTGCCCCTCCCACGGCCAGCATGAGGCGGCCAGTCACCTTCTGCAGAAGAAGAAATCACAGCGTTACAGACATGTCTGGGCCCTGAGCACTACAGAGCCAAGCCAATGCTGGCAGGGTCTCATATTCAGATGACTCGCCTAACTCCTGGCAACACACCTATCCTTCTCCCAGGAAACTTGGCTACTTCCTGGCCTCGAGTGCCCAAACCTGCTGAGCTGACTTCTAGACTTTTCTCTGAGGACAGAGGAATCAGGGTCTTCTCCACACAGTTAGAGAGAGGCCTCGAGTTTTCCAGGTCTCATTCCCCAGGTAGAGTGATGTCTGCACTGCAGGTGGCTCCAGAGTCTGGGAGGACCAGGAACCAACCTTCCCTCTTGTGCCAGGGAGGCCAAACTAAAGGAAAGGAACAGTGCAGATGGGGAAGAACAGCTCTGGATCCGAAGCCAAGGGCGATGGTCTAGCCCATGGCAACTACAGCAGGCTGTGCCTCCCTGCATCCCTACCCTTATGTGCCTATCTGCAAAATGGGAACAATCATACTGTTTAGCATTAGAGACAGGACGCTGCCCTTCCCCACCCTTCTGAGGCCAGAAGCAAAGCTCTGGAATCTCAGAGCAGGAAACCAAAGTTCCAGTCTACTCAGGGGTCTTCAGCAGGACGAGGGTTGGAACTCAGGGCCCTGGAGATGCGATTCAGTGCTCCTCACACCACTGCTCCCATCCCCAAACCATAAGCTTTCAGGGTCATTTGTGCCCGGGTGAAACACCAGCCAGAAATGTGATTCAAACAGTCCATGACCCGAGGTGACTAAGCACTGAATCCTAAGGAGCACAGGGTTGGAGGCAGCAGGTAGGGGAGAGGCCAGCAGGTGAAAGGGCCTGCTTACAGAGATGAAAGGCCAGTGAGTGTCCACCTGGGTAGACAAAAGGGACTCCTTCCAGCTTTTCAAACGAGGAAGCCAAGAAATGTGACATGAGGCAGGCCCTTCACTGGGTGTGGGAAAGCAGAGCTGGGGAGACATGCCAAAAAAGAAAACAGATAGGAGTCTGCAGATGTAGAACACCTGCACTGGGCTGGGCTGGGCACTGCAGGTCCAGAAGGAGAGTCCTGGAATTCTGAGTCGTGTGAGACTCCAGGACAGTGGAGGATCGTCTGAGCCAGACTTTGGCTTGTCTGGGACTCTGGGCCTGTTTCCCCACAGTACCGAGAAGCAGTGCTCACTTCTAGATTGTTAGATAGAGCTGGGCGTAGCTGTTAAGCAGACATGTTCCTAGGTCTTCTCATTTTCCAGAAGCCCGCAGGACAAGGATTGCCAAAGCTACAGTTGTCACATCAGAGACTGAGAAAGGGGAAGGTTAGTGTCTGCCCCAGCGCGCACAGCAGAATATTGGGGCCTGCCCTCTAATTGTCCGTCTGTCTGTTTCTCCTTGGCTGACCTTGCAAACTCATTCTTTGCGGCTTCCCTTCAATTCCCAAATACCAAATACCAAAGCGAAAGGCAGGGTCCTCAAAGCTCCTGCCTCCCAGCTCTCTAGGGAGCCTCCAGACCCAGGGCTGCTGGTTGAGTGGGCAGCGAGCACATGACAGCCAAGCCAAGGGTCATCAGGTGACCACTGGGACTCAAGAGGCTGTGGTAAACATCAGCGGCAGGGCTCAGTGGTGACAGCTGGGCCCCACCATGTGCCAGGCTGTCTGTGAGGGACATGCTCAGGCTGTTCTCAGGTGCAATACTTAAGGTATGCAAATATTCATTTTTCTAACACATTCTAGAACAGAAATAAAATTAGAACACACCGATGGTTTAGTAATCAATGGCATAGCAATATAATGGAATATTAAAGAATATATCAGATGTATTGGTTTGGGACAGTCTCCCAAATATAATCACAATTATAAGTTTAAAAGCCAGCTTCATATTGAATGTCACCTATGATACAAAATAATTGGAGGGAGGAATATGAATAACCACTTTTAAATGCATATATATATAAAGGATAATGAAGGTTGAGTATGGTGGGCCCACATCTTTAATCTCAGCACTTGGGAAGCAGAGGCAAGAAGATCTGAGTTCAGGGCTAGCTTAGGCTATATAATAATGAACACTGGGGGTCCTGGGTGGCTGGCCAGAGGTAAGGCAAAAATAATACTTCATTTTAGACCCTTGTGCAGTTCTTGAATTCTGAACATTGTGACTGAACTCAGCTACAACAAATTTTTATGAGCCCAAGATTTCACATTACTTATAACAAAGTATTTTATTATTATATCTCAACAACTAGGCAGGCAGAACATGAGTAGCGGCTGCTGCAATGGGATAGGTGAGGTGCGCACTGTGACGGCAGGCTTGTTTATAGTAAGTCTGGCTCTGAGGACAGAGATCCTTAGGTGTGTCCTCGATAAGGCCCTATTCAACAGGCGGAAGTGAGAGTGAAGGGGGATTGGCGGGGAGGGGTGGGAAGCTGCTGGGGAACAAAGACAAACCCCTTCTTAAGGGACTCTGCCACTGGCAGGCCAAGGTCTAACTCCACTGTAGAAGACCAGAAGACCTGCCTACCAAGTATGGGGTTACATCTACCTAGGCAGGCTGCCTTGTTAGAACTTTAAACACTCGGTGAAACAGGTCTAGTTGCCATGTGCAAGAACTGGGGCTCAGGACCCAGGAGGCCCATGCCTGAGGCCAAGGAGACGGCTAATAGTCAAGTGAGCTCCTGTGTGGGGGAGGCAGACCCAATGACCATCCAAGGTACCTGGATTTCAGTAGAGGTGCTTGAGGAATTGAGGAGGCTCTGGAAGACACACTTCCTTTTTTTTTTTTTTTTTTGGTTTTTCGAGACAGGGTTTCTCTGTGGTTTTGGAGCCTGTCCTGGAACTAGCTCTTGTAGACCAGGCTGGTCTCCTCGAACTCACAGAGATCCGCCTGCCTCTGCCTCCGGAGTGCTGGGATTAAAGGCGTGCGCCACCACTGCCCGGCTGGAAGACACACTTCTAAGTTTGCCCTGTGGGCAATCAAAACTCAATTCCCAGTAGGTGACATTGGAATCAGCTTGAAGGGCAAGCACCCAGTCTGCCAAGTAGGAAGGCAGCGAGCGGCAGGACTACATTCCAGGTGGACAGCACAGTACGTGCAGAGAGAGTTAGAAACCGGGGTAGCTGATATGGCCAGGTTAAGAAAATGAGTGGTTAGCAAGGCTAAAGGGGAGGAATGGAGCTCCCGCCCCTTGGTAGGCACATGGCCACCGAGATCTGCCACCTGCCCCAGGTCCCCCACATTCCACACCCTGTTTGATCACTGCCGACTTAGAATTAAGGGGAATAAGGTTTGGATACAGTCTACTCATCATTTTACCTTGTTAGGATTTGAGGCAGGCCCTACCTCTGAGCCTTGGTTTTCTAGGGCCTGGGAAATCTCAATCAACAAGTGTTTGCTGAATGAAGTCAGAACAGGAAGCCACCCTCAGCTGGGCCACCGTAGTCCATCTGCTCCTATTAGCTAGCAGATGAGATTGAAACCCACTCACTCAGCATGTGCTTATCTTTACCAGCCTATGAGGGTTGTGTCTTAGGGAGGGTGGCAAACTGCACCTGAGAACGAGGCATCTTTTAGCACACCCTACACCCTTTCAAGTCTTTCCCTTGGTGTGTGCTCCACAGCCTCTAGCCTAACACACTCATCTGCCAGCGACTGCGGACCCCAAGAAGGAAACCTGGCTTTGCTGCTCCTGCAGCAGAATAATGCCAGGGGTGGAAAGGAGTGGAGAACATCCATAAGGACCCACCTCTCAACTTACTGTTTGGGTAAAACTCATTCCGTGTATCTTTCATCAGAATGACACCTTATGTATGCTGGAACATCAGAGCTCTGAGAAGTGGAAATGGCTGACGCTCTTCCCAAGCCCTCTGAGGAGACCTTTGAGTCAGATAACAGACCCCTTAGGTGCTCCATGGGCTCCCAGTTCATCTGAGCTCAGGCACCCGCACAAGAGGCCTTCCATGTCCCCCTCTTCCCTGTCCCAGAAAGCAACTGGTGTAGTATTAGCTTCAGGGACCTTTATTCCCACTAGCTGGGATGACTGAACAGCCCAGGCCACAGTGGATAGCTTTTGATCACTGGCCTTTTCACCCCGCCTGTGTGCCCTTCCAGCCTGGCTTGTCGGGGAGCAGACTCTTGGTCAATATTGGCAGAGGGCGGGATGGGACGTGGCATCACCACTAGGAGGCAGAGGCAGGGTGTTTCCTTGTGGGAGGAGAGTCCAAGCTTAGCTGTCACTCTATCTTACTCTGCTGCTTCCTGCATGGTCTTTGGGTGTGGGAGCACGAGCCATTGAAGCTTTATAGTCCTATGGGGCAGGCAGGAGGTCCAGCCCCCTTTACTCATACACACACACACACACACACACACACACATATATATGACACACATATGTATATATACATATATCTTTTCTAAAAATGCATTTGAGCAAAGTTCTGAGTATTCTAAAAAAAATCCAAGATATTGCACATCCATGTGCCATGATCATTTGATAGATAAGGAAGGTGAGGTTGGAACAGGGACCCTGGTTTCTTAGCAAGCATAGAGGCTAAGGGCAGGACTAGAGTTCTCCGGACTCCGAGCCTGCTATTTTACTCTGATTCCATCAAGCCTCCCAAATCTTAACAGTGATGCTCTAATCCCACAATGCTGACTTTCATGTGACCTTAGGCCCTGATTCCTCTTGAATCAGTTTCCTTAAAGCCTTCTAGTGGTGTTAAAACTTGCATGACTGTGCAGGCGGTGCACATGGGTCTTTACAGGGGGAGGAGGAGGAGCCGGGCACTTATCAGCAGCACCAGTAATGTGTCAGGCACCCTGCCAGGGCCTGCTCCCATCCTGGCTGACCACCATGAACATACTCTTTCCCTCTAGAAGAGATTGCTTCTACTTTACCAGAGAATGGTAGGCTCAGAGGAAAAAGCTCCTACCCTGGGGTTCAGGGACTTCTCTGAAGGTTCAAATGGGGGGCAGGGCAAACTCTGGTAGCACATGTTCTGTTCTTCCT